TGGGAACATGATCGCACATAATGGATGGAGTGTGTGGTGGAAAATATTAAACTCAGAAGCAAGAGAGGACAGATGTATTTAGCTCAGTGTGTGTTGTTGGAAACGTTGAGCACACAAAGAGGAAAATTTTTCTTTAACTTTGGGCACTTTTACATACCAGGAGGATTTTTGTAATACTAAAAGATTTCTACTTTTTATTTCTTTCTTAATTGAAAATAACACACTACAACAGTCTTAGAAAATATCATCATTTATTTTTGCTACACTATACAACATGATTTTACAAAGTTGTGAATAAAACAGGAAAATACAATTTCAGTCTTTCTACTTAAATTTTTTAAAATTCAATATGTTATTTGTCATTTCTTTGTGGTTATGTGGTTATCTTTGTGGTCTATGCGGTAAATCAGGAATTTCTGATTGAAAATTGTTTCCAAGTAAAACCTACATAATTTTTTTCAGTGTACTTTATAAAAGGCTTTTTTATGTCCATTTATAGATTATAGTGTTTTACTCTTGTCCCAGGATTTAATGTTAGTCCAGGAAAATTCTTCATAAAAATATAAATTACTGCTGATAATCCAAACAAATATTAAAGTAAGATATCTATTTCAATATTAATTGAGTGAAAATGATTTATATTAGGACTGCACGATAAATCGCATGCGATTGTCATGCACATCTCGTCAGTAAAGCCGGTTCTGTGATTAGTAGTAAATCTCCATCACGTGCTTTCAGATGGAGTGGCATTTAATACACAGAGCCGTAGTTCACTGACAAGCTACGCAATATCACGTTCATAATCGCAGATGAATCGCCTTCGATTATGAACACGATATTGCATAGCTTGTCAGTATGTACAGTATGTTTAACAACAATTATTTCCTAAAAACCCACTGGGCCAAAAGTGTCTGTATTTGAAGAAACACCCATTAAAGTCAAAGTCTCTCTCCTTCTCACACAAAAAGCAGCAGCTGTTACCCCTTCTAAATTTAACAAAAGCAGGCTGACAGAGTAGGTGTGTTTACACAGGGCATCCTGATATTGTGCACACCAATTTTACACAGCCTCCATCCATCTCGCAGTATTCCTCAATTACTACCACAAATAAAACTGCTCATCCACCAGGGAGCCATCAGTGCATTATGATCAACCATCTCTGACAAAACGTGCAACAGCCAAAAAATAAATAATGCAGGTCCTTAGTTATTACAGTGTCAGAGCTTAAAGTAACAGAGCTGCTACTGAAGTATTATTACTTCATTCTGCATTTGGCAACTAACTACAATAGAGACACACTCTAAAGCACACAGGAACAATCCAATCAAAACTGACCCCTCGGTTGACTGCAGTCTATAAGCCATGCTAAGAAAATCATTGGCCTGTAAATCAGAAACACCTGGCCCCCACTTCATTAATGAATTGCTACCTAAAAGGAAATCCCATGCTGCCAATTGGGGGCCAAAGTCTTGTCCATTGTTCAAATGAAGAACAAGATCATTAAAGGGATATTTCAACCATAAAATTTCAATTCTGTCATTCTTTATGACAGAATTGTCATGTCATTCCAAACCTGTATGCATTATTTATTATTTGGAGATTGGATTTTTTTAATATATATGAATATTCTGGCAAAGATTACTTCGACTTGGCATGTATATAATAGTCATATTAACTACACTGTTTTTAAATTGTAAATTAAATAAAGATTAGCTGGAGTACGATTTACAAGAAAATATGGCTCCATTCTTTCTACTTCAAAATTTTACATTTACTTCAATGCGTTTTCAATTTCTTTGTAATTAATTGTGAAACTTACTAGCAATTTCTGAGTGAAAATTGTTTCAACACCAATTTTTTTCAATGCATTTATTTATTTATGCATGCATGCCAGTCCTCATTCCCTTCAATTATTTTAAAAAGAATGGCCATAATATTCTTAAAAATCCTTCTTTTGCATGCAAGTAAACTAATATGGATATCTTTAGTATGTATACTATTTAAAGCGTATTTGTAACAGTAATATTGTTTAGAGTGTCAACTATTCGACTGAATACTTTTGACATTGTTGGCTCTGTGACAAATTGCTTATGTTCTTCTTAGTGGTTGATTGATATATTTCTATGGAAGCCCATTTCCTCCACTGAATAATAAAAAAAAGATAATTGCGACTTTTTACCTCACAATTCCGACTTTTTTTTCTCACAATTGCGAGTTCACGTCTCGTAATTCTGACTTTTTTCCTCAGAATTGTGAGATATAAACTCACAACTGCGAGCTTGATATACAGTCAGAATTGTGGGATATAAACTCACAATTCTGAGAAAATATCAGTCTTTATTTTTTTTTTTGAAGTCCACAGAAGTGGACTTTATAACTCGCAATTGTGAGTTCTCACAATTCTGAGAAGAAAAGTCAGAATTGCGAGATACAAACAAGCAATTCTGAGAAAAATGTTTAGAATTGCGAGATACAAACAAGCAATTCTGAGAAAAAAAGTTAGAATTGCAAGTTTAAATCGCAATTGTGAGTTTATATCATGCAATTCTAAGAAAAAAAGTCAGAATTGTGAGATACAAACAAGCAATTCTGAGATTTTTAGACCATTTTTTAATGATCTGCATCAGCAAATTTTTTTATGTTTAAGCCTTTAAGCAGAGGTTTGAGATGCTATCCTCAGTCATTCTTCATGTAAATGTCACTGATAACTGAACAGTTTGTCAGTTTTAGTATGCGAAAGTGTGTCAAAAAGAGGAAACGGTAGACAATGAACTTTAGTTTACATCAGCTCATTAAAATGAATCTGCCTGAAGGATTTTGGGGTATGTAAATGTTTTCATAATGCAGACTCCCTGTCTGTTGCACACAACTAACTCAGACACCATAGTAAAAGAAAGCAAATGAAAGGATGCAGAGAAAAGAGAATAAGCATGTTTTGCAATGACAAACCCTGTCTGAACCATCTGTGAAAAGCACAGAGGCAAGTATAACAGCCCTACATGTCGCTAACGGAATGTGTGCACAGCTCAAACAAGTGCTGGGGATGAAGCAAACATTCCACTCTACTTCCTCTCAATGTATGGGAGATTTCAATTAGTCTTTTCTTGCCCCAAGTGCTTTACACAAATTGTGATGGGGTTTGAAATAATTGGAACAGGGAGATGCCAGAAAAAAAGTAGGCAAAATTTTGACACAATAAATTGTTCGTTTTATGATATTATTTGTAGCTGCATGTTAGCTGAAGTCAAGACTCAACCAAAAGTCCAATGTATGTACTTTTTATAAATATTTAGTTATTTTTCTTAATCTTAAATATCATATAGAATGAAAAGTTAATGGAATCATAACATTAAAACATTTCAAAACAACTGCATTATTATCATCTTAATCAACCCATTTAATGCTTCATACAAGATAAAAAAAGAAACTACAGTACAAGAAAAAAAAGCTATTTTTATATTCCATTTTAAGATATCAATATAACAAATAATGTTTTCCTAGCCATGAAGTTTCAAGGGAGAAGAAAAACCTCAGGCTTTCAGGAAGCCAGTTGTTTTGTGTCTCTTGCTTTCAGTCATATCATGCTCACTGAACTGGCTTCAGGTGTAAGTGGTGATCAATACATTGACTTAAAGGCTGCAGCATATGTACTTTATAATGGGGCTCTTTATTCCAAAGACTGCATGTGCATGTTCACTGAAGCATTATCACCCATCACAAAGACCCCTCCCTGTTTCTGGATCAGTGCTGTGCTTCTTTAAAAGATGCTGTCTGGGAGTGTGCACCGCTGGGGGTTACAGTCAGATGGGTGTTGCCCCAGGCAGAGGGTCCATCACTGCCCCACTTACTCACCAAGCTGTAGATAAAGGGGTCTTCCTACACATTTCTAAATCAATTCTGTCCCAATCAATCATACAACTAAAGCAGCTTTGTTTTGTCAAAACCTGCCCTTATGCACACTCCCAGCAAGCTTCATATCTTCATAGTTACCATGGTTATGACTTAACATGTTGATAATATCATGATGCTGATTAAAAACAAAACAAGAAGATAATTTAACACTGCTATCACCTTTTTTCAAGTATGGACTGGTTTCTTCAACAAAAGTCTCTTTGAATACAAGTGCACCCAAAGAGGCTTTCATACAAATTCATTAGCGTGCTCAATCACAGGGTGGAAGAAAAGGGATTTGGAAATATATATGACAGGAACGAACAAGCGTCATGTGATCATGTATTATACCCCCCTCAACTTGCAATGACTTCTGGTGCTGCTCCAGGATTAACATTTATAATACAATAACATTTATTTGTATAACATTTACATAATGTAATAGAATATAATATTATATTTATCATTATTGTACATTTATTTATATTTAAAAAAACTCCCTAAACAAAGTAATATGTATATAATATATACAATATATAAAAATTGAGAGTATTTATTTGTACTTATTTATTAAATTAATTAATTACAAAATAAAAACTAGTGTTTATGTTTAATATTTATACACTTTATATGTATATATTATGTATTTATTAATTTATAAATGTAATTATTTATGTTACTCACTAAAACTAATTTATATAATGATTAATTTTTTTTTTAAATATTAAAATATATATCTAGTGTGTCTATGTAATATACAGTTTATGTGTAGATATTTATATTATAAATATATGTATATATAATAATTATATATCATGTTATATATCATATTTGTATATATTTGTTTATATATTTCTTGTATGTTTAGGGGAATTTTATAAATATAAAAATTTTATAATTAACAAAATAAATATTTGAAAAAATATATATTTAAAGGGGTCATATGATGCTTTTTTAAAGATCATTATTTTGTGTATTTGGTGTAACAGAATGTATGACACTGTTAAGTGTGATATTATGAATTAAAGGTCATCCTTTAATCAACAAAAGTAAAAACAGAAGCACAAAATTAAACAGGTAGTGATGAAAACTACAAAGACGTTTCTTACCAAGGTAGAGGGAAGCGTTCTCCTTTTTCACGTTATCATCCAGGTACGTTGGTCCCAGCGTGTAGATAGGAGTGGATCCCATGCCCACCAGGACCTGGGCGCAGATGAACAGGGCAACATATATGGAGACTGTTCAAGAAGCAATACAAACAGCGTACATATCTTGTCATTTGTTTTGTTTAGTCGAGCTGCTGTCTGGTAGATTAGTGGTCGAGAAAGACAAAGAATAACAGTAAACGTGCGACGGACCACTGATAAAACACTGGGAGGAAAATTAAAAACCGTGTCAACCTGCTCGAATTATTTGTTTATCTAATACAACTAATTCCCCACCTAACGTTTACGAAGTCACGACTTTATACATGAGTGAACATATAGTACAATATACTGTCAGTGCAAATACTGATCCTTTCTTTGAATTCATTCACAGCACATCGTTTACAGCTCGACTCTAAGCTCTAACGTTAATTAAAATAACAAGACGTAGTAATAATAATAATGAACTGAATGAAGAGTAGTGTACTTACAAGGGCAGATAGAGACAGAGGTAGTGAGTTGTTGTCCTCGACACGGACAGTGAGTGAATGAGATAAGATTGCGGATTTGATGAAGGGGTTGACGGAGCCCTCCAAGTGCATGCTGGGAAATGTAGGCCTATTTCCCTTTGTTAAGTATGTTTTACCTTTGTTTTTAAAACATACTTATCCCTATTCCTTGACCTCAACAACCATAATTCATGATGTTCAGAGAGATGAAAAAAAGTACACTTTGTGACAACATGCCCCAGTAGCTGTACAATGGAAGCTGCCATTAAACAGTGTATCATAGTCATCAAAATGTGTCAAATAATAAAAATAACTAACAAAACAACAAAAAGTAAACCTAAATGCATTTAATAAACGGTATAATTTTAAATGAACTTTAACATTTTAAAACATGTGAAGAACTTGTGTCCACTTGTTGCAGCTAGCTAAAATATCAAGATAAAAAAGTGAATAACTAAATAAATAAAATAAGTTTGAGGACGTATTTAAATTTGGAACCTGTGATTTCTTCAGAATTCTTTAACAAATAACATCAAAAGGACAGAATTAGAAACCTTACTGTCACTTTTGTTTAATTAATGTGTTTATTAATTCAACATGTTTGACCATGTATTATGTGTATGTAGCCGATAAATGTAGAATTTTTAAATTTCCATGAAAAGATAAAGGTGTTAAATGTTTGAAACTTCCAAATATACAGCCTAAAAGTGATAACCAAAAAGCTTCTTCATAATGACAACTAGGCTAGCACATAAAAAGACTCAAGACAAAGGTGTAATAATAAAGACAAACCCGATCTTTATGGTCTTCCTCAGGGGTCACTCTCACCCAGGTGTCCAACTGACCTTTGACCCATGTGTCACTCTTTTTTTAGTGTCAGTCAGCACCCTTCTCCATGAAAAAGCCTTAGAATGTGTATGTGGCAGTGTTTGTCCAGCTTATGAAGTTTTCAATGAAACTCTGAGAGAAGCATGTTCATTATCTTTAAATTAAATAGTTACAGGGACAAAAATAGCATCTCACATCACTGTTGCACAGTTCTTCCATAGATGCTGAAAGTTTTTGCTTTGAGTCATGTCTCAATCTTGTCTCCTTCAGTGAGGACACCCCTAATTACTTTCCCACATCCCTCTTAAGCTGTACTCAAATACACACCGGGGAACTGAGTACAGTAACACCACCTGGTGGTCATATGCGTCTTTTACAACTAATTTTTTTAGATCACTGCAAATAAGTTGCAACCACAGCTCAGTCAATCAACATGTCATTATATTTCTTCATAATAGTCTTTTAATCCATTTTATATAATCACAGAACATTTGAATGTGGATCAAATAATTTTTTCCTTTGTGATTTATTTTAATCATCTGTAGGTTATTTAAATAATGTTATTATTTGTATATATATATATATATATATAAAAAATTCTGTGTAGTCTATACATTTCATTGCATTATGTATTAAAACTAAGCCATCCTACACCTTCAGCAAAATGGTACTTTGGTACCTGACCACAGTTCCAATCTTAAAAGTAAATAAAAACTGGTTTCTGCTGCCTTCCTGGAGTGCATACATTTATAGAGCAAACATTAAGAAAAATTCATGGCATTGGTAGAGTCATGCCAAGACAGCCTGCTCAGGACTTCTTGGCAGAACGTTATTAATGGCTTGACTGTTATTCAAAGCACTCAGCCCAGGACATGACCTAAAATAAAGTGCATGTGGAGATATAGAAAACATTTTTTATGGCTAGAAAGGATAAAAGTAATCACAAAATGTCCACAAGTACGATACACATGAAAGAACAATGAAATAAAGTGCATTTTCATCATATGTTCATACCTTTTATTCAGTTAGCTTATTTTCATATGCTGGAAGGCAGAATCGCATCTTCTACACCCAAATAACAATAGATAAGAACTTTAACTGTAAAACTCGCTACTTTGCAGTACATTATAAAAAGCTCTACAACTTTCATTTGCAGTGTAACATCAGTGTCACATTTTTTTTTTAATGTAATTTCATTCAATTGTACAATCCAATCCATCAATGAAAGGTTAGAGGCACAAGGTAGGTGAAACAAATGTTTGGCAGGTTTTTATTTCAAAACAGCTTCTTGGCTTTCCAGAAGCCAGAATAGTTTCAACACCACTGGTTAAAAAGTAATGTAATATTTGCAAATTTGGCAGGTCATTTCATATTTCAAACAATTTTTACTTCAAAAATGAATTTAGACATCACAATTCTAAAAGACAGGAAGAAAATGGTCAGAAAGCTCGGAATAAATGCCCATCTCACATTCTTCACAAATGAAACAAGCTACTTTAAAGTAATTCATTACTTTTTGTAGGTTAGTGAAAATGTTAGAGTCATCCATGATTAAAGCACTTACAGTGAATGCCCTTCTTATATTATATGGATTGAATGCAGCAGAACTATACATTTGTGAGAGAACCATTTCACCAACAAGTCAAACCTTTGAACCCACAATCCAAGAGTATAAAACATGTTCAAGCAGTGTTTTAAAGAGTAAACAGTGAACCGAACCTAACAAGCTGAAGTAAACATAGAAGAAAACACCAACGATACTCATTAACGAAAGCAAATCCAACAAATAATGACTTGTGTTGGGTGTCAACATGGAGTCGTTTACGTCTTAAGAGACTGCAGAAGTCGACAAACATGAAAAAAGTGCATCAAATATCTGGGGAAACAATCTGCATGTGGTTAATCAACGCTATCTCACGACCAATTCGAATGTATTTTACGAGGTGGCTAATTCGTACAAATTCATACGACCTCACTTGTACGATTTTATACGGTTTGTCTAGACTCCAGTGACGGGTAGGTTTAGGGGTGGGGTTAGGTGTAGGTCATTCGTACAAATTCATACGAATTGTGCTACTCGTAAAATATGTGCGATTTAGCAAAAATCGTATGAATTTGTATGAGTGAGGTCGTATGAATTAGCCACCTCGTAAAATATGCAATATGACAGTTTCACCATTTTAACCTGTTTCTTAATTAAAAATATATTAAAACCTTACTTTGATGGTGTTTTCCCACTTGAGATTTAAAACCAAACCCAACATTTAAGATGCATCCGATACTTTACCTCTACATTTTTATATTTATTTATATATATATATTTTTTTACAAAATACATAACACTGATTTCTAATAAATGGAAGTACCTGTAAAAAATAAAATAATTCATTGGATTATACAGGAGAGCAGTCCATGCTCCATGGGGTTAGTGTCTCTGAGTTGGCTGGCTTCACAGTGCATGGCAGCAGTCCTTTCTCAAAGGGGATGGTCCCGAGGCGCTACCCTCCGAGTCCTGAACATCCCTGGGCTTGTGGGTAAAAGGTTTAACACTTCCATTCCACTTCTCCTGTAGGGTGTCACTCCGGGCTGGAGGAGTTTCCCCAGCAGGCTCTGGGGGTCTGGCTGGCTGCGATGAGAGGGGAAGGTAACCCTGGGCCTGAAAAATGTCCTCCTCATCTTCCTGCAGGTGGAGATCCAGAATTTTAGAGCTGCGCAACAGAAAGTCATGGTGGGTCTCCAGTTCAGTGACGCCGTTGCCGCTAAACGTCATTCCGTCATTGTCCAACTCATTATCCAGCTGTTGAACCCAGGTGTCTCCCCTGGGAAGCGCACTTGGTTTAGTTGGGCGGCCTTCTGGGAGTTCATTAAGAGACTTTAAATTACTCTTTTGAAGAGTTTTGGGGGTCAGACCTCTCGAGGGACCTTTGGTGACAGTAATCGGGGGTCGCTCCTTTCGGATTGGTAATCCAGCACCGCTGGCCTCCTCCGGGACCCCGGAGCCCAGCTCAGCCAGGGGGTCAAGTTTATCGGTTTGGTTGAGTGTCTTTAAATTTCTCAGCAGTGCAAACATACTATCTACATCCTTCCAAAAGTTCATCCAGTCATCCAGGTCGGGACTGTAGTTGTGTCTGTGTTTATACAAACTCTCGTTCACGCTGTACAAAACTGCCAGTCCTTGCCAGTCGATGACCTCTGTGAAATTGGGCAGCTTAACCTTTGTGGACGTCCCAGGCTGGCTGTGTTCTGGGAAACGGGAGAGGGGGAAGTGAGAGAAATCAGTAAGGGTTGATGATTGCCGCGCAGAAAAGCATTTGCTTTGGAATGAGTCTAAAACATGCAGTTATTCCCGGCCTACTTGTGGTGCTTATTAGTGCCCCACACACCACTGCAGTGCTTTTTTAAGCCTTAGACCAAGAGAAAAGCTCTATTCTGAAGCAGTAAAGCAGTGTGAATGCAGATCAAGGCAACGAATGTCCTCCAAACAGACACCCAAAACCAATACATCATAAATAAAGAGTGCGCAGACAGACTTAAAATCTGTGCAATGAGGTTCAAACTAAAATGAAACATCCAACGAGAGACTGAAAAGATGGAAAATCCTGGAACCAAGAAATCAGCAACCCAAAAAAACTAAATATGAGCCTGAAAGTGTGGGTGAGAGGTAGAAAATGAAAAACTGCAAAAACAAAAGCGTGTTAAAGGAGGGCGAGTGAATGAAATGAGCATTCCCAGAGCGGGTCAGGCAGTAACTGATGGCCTAGGAGACATGGGCCGCACTGAACCAGAACTGCCACTTAACTCGGGGTCTATGGAGATGTGGTGTGCAGTTTGGAGAACTACTTGAGAGTGGAATGAGAACAGAAATGGGTTCATATGGTCTGAAAGACTCACAGGAATGAAAGGCTTGGCCTCCTCAACTTTGACCATTTTCGATGCTGCTGTTGCCTGGTAAGCAGGTAAGCCAAAAAACAGAGATGTCAAGATAAGCGTGAACGAGAAATGTAAGAAAAAATCTGAAATATTGATGTTCTGTGGACTGAGAAGTCCCCACTAAATGGTGTGTATGAATAGCCTTGGATTTTATGTAAATTATTTGAGTTTAGGAATACATAAAAACAAAAAGCAATACATTAGGAGTTAAAATTAGAGGAATGATCTTGTAATTCTAAAACTTGAGGTTTTAAATACTAATATTCATGTCATTTTTAAATATACTTGAATTGTTAGCTCAACCCAGCATGCAACCACACACTTAGCTCAATGAATCATGGCATATTAGTGGAAACAAGCTGCCCATGCAGTTATTTCAAAAGCCAATGAGGGATTCAAAAAGTGTGGATACCTGTGTTGATCATAGCTTCCTCCATCTTTACTTCCTGATCAGGAAAATAAAAGCATTTAAAATGTTAAATGTCTATTGTGATTAAAAAACAAACAAACAAACAAAACAATCACATTGCAGTTCTTCATGCATAACCCCCAGCTCCTGAGGAGAAGTATTGTTAGATTAAAGACACAATGAAGGAATGAGGATGTGAAAGATGAGGAAAATCCTCGGATGGTCCTGAAGAAAAAGATGGTAAGTGTAGTGTTAAGAATGGAATGAATGTTATACGATGACATTGTTAACAGTGTTTCATGACTTAAGGTCACAAATAACATGATAATATGCCAACATGCAGACTAATATGTATTAACAACATGCATCTGTTTTTGTAATATTTTGTACATTACTAAGTGGCAAATCCTATTTTTATTATCTGTCTTAATTCCTCAATCTAGTCATGTATGGATGTGTGTTCACCCCAAAATGTTTTAGTTGTGCCTGAGAAATCATCAAACTTTACCTTTCTTTCTTCCATTGAAGACAAAAGAAGAAGTTTAACAGAATGTTCATGCTGCTCTTTTCCATTTAATGAAAGTTAATCGTAACTAAAGGCTGTAAACACACAAAAACTACAAGTGGCCCATAAGATGCTAAATTTCAAGTCCTCTGAAATCATATTACAGCTTTGTGTGAGAAATAAA